GGGGGGGGGAAGGGAGGGAAGAAGGGGAACAAAACAAAAAACAGCTTTGCAAGGTTTTAACAGTTGGCTCTTTTGTTAAATAAAGGAAGCTCTGAAGAAGGTGATCGGAACTGCGCCTCTCGGGGGAGTTTTACTTCCAGCACTAACATGTGCGTTACCCATCCGTTTACGCCACAGCAATAGCAAGCTTAAAAAAATGCGGGCAGGAGTGCAATTCCTCTCTACTGGGAGAGATCTTTCCTCCCAAAGTTTCTATGAATATGTAAGTGGAGAAACGTCAACAAACTGGGGCTGAAGTTACTTGATTTTCCCCAAAATACCAGAACTTGGCAATTTTTGCTTTTCAGTTCCCTTCCCTGTTCACTCACCTGATTCTGCCTTTCAAAGCGAGCACGGTAAGAAGAATCAAAAAATCCAGGCCCGAGAGGGACTATTGTGGTTTATGCCCTTCAGGCTCCTTGAGTAGCAAACAACTTAATGACATGGTTAACGTTCAGTCTGACTTCCTCTAGATCAGGTACCCATTGAACACCAGTGCCATGTGCGTAAAACAGCTCAACTTCTGATGCATAATAAATACATTTAACTGATTCCCCCTCCCCACTGCTGTGCTAGGCAATCGCCATTCTCCAAAGCACGGCAGCTTTTGCCTCAGCACTGATGGCATCTCAGAGCACGATAAGGGCACTGCAATAGTCTGTTCTGCTTAAGGAAAGGAATGACGGATCCTAGCAAAGGGTATGATCCTACAAAATAAGTGCCTTTTCCAGACAATTGCAGAGGTGGCCATAGCCTACTCAGCCATCACATTAATTACATGGATGCTCATAGAAACAGTCTATACTGATATTTTATGCAAAGTACTTTTTCCTCTAATATCTTAAAACTTTTTCCTAGTTAACCCTCCCCTTTCTGCCTCAACACTTTCAGTTTGAAAAAGCCCACAGGCCTGGAGAGAGACATCTTCCATGTTCAAAGCACGTGCTAACTCAAAGAACTGTTCACTGGAGTTATAAGCTCTATAAATAAAGACCACTGCAAAGGCAAGGAATTGCATTGAAGGTACTTTTCTTATGATTCAAGATTTCAAAAAGTTTCTTATTTGCAGACAATTCATCTCAAAATACAGCATCTAAAATAAATTGTCACAGGTCCTCTTCTCTTATTTTCTCAAATACACAATCCTCTTCATTTGGCTGAACAAAAAATCTTCTCCTAGGTATAAAACTGGAAGAAACTACCTGCAGAGAAACAAGAATAGTTAAAAGGGTATATGCATTTCAATAGTTAAATTTAAACATAAACAATTATCATGTCAGATTTTCTAGCTTAGGTGCAGTGGATGATCTTTTTATGTTAGCACTTGGGAAAGGACAGAATTTGTTTGCTGGAGAAGACAGTTTCTGCTCTTAAGGTGTATTGCAACATACTAAATGGGGAGTAGATTGAAAGGCCGTTCCAAAAGTGCTAACATCAATGTTTGCTGGCACTACAGTGGTTACAAGCACATATGTGCAGGTACTTTAACTAGGTACCAGGCCTTCTGAATTAAATGGACATAGATAAAGATGGGTATGGTTAAGGATGTATAATACCTGCATAAATGACACCTACATAAATTAAGAGTTTATACAGTCATTCTAAATAAATGCATCAAGTTCTGTCTTCCTCAAAAAACTGTCACTGAACTAAACTTTCAGTTAAGAATATCGTGCCTTTCCTAAAGCCTACCACGTACCATCTGAAACATCCCAACACCATGTAACCTAGTGGGTTTTTTGTTTTTTTTTTTTGTTTTTTTTTTAAAAGCCGCAAGCAGGCTAACCAGACCCTCACGTTGCACGTATCTGCAGCAGTTTACTGTTGTTCTAGGAGACTTCTGGCACAAATTTTTATTCTACTTCTTATAGCATGGTATCTTCAGATATATATATATAAAATAAGTGTCCTAAAACACCCTACTAAGAGGGTCTATCATAAAGCTATGGCAACCACGCTGCAATAATCAGGATAGGCAAAATTTGGTTGCCGTTTCCTAATGCCTGGTTCCTAGTGTTAGTTACTTCATACTTCTTTTCTCAGTATTTCTAAAGTACTCAAACAGTAAAATTGTCTAGATGCAGGCACATTCCATAGCATAGCCTCACTGTCTGCATAGACTGCATACTAGTTAAATCATTTTTATTTCAATTCAGCAGATTGTTCTCGATTTTCCTACTAAATCTTATTGCTGCACTGGATTATGTATTCAGACAAGAATTTACAAGCTGTCATGCTGATCTAATAGTAACGCAGTATGCAACTACAGTATTCCAAAACCAAGATTAAATTTTTCTTCTCATGAGTCAGCAGAAAGTATCTGGCAGAAGTTTTGAGAATCTTTGGAGAGCAGTCAGATAAACTTTCAGCCAAATCAGGCCAGATGAAAGATGTGAGACTCTTGGGGATACTAATTGCCAAGTTATAATGACCCAACTGAACCACTTTTCAAGTATGAATATGCAAAGATACACTTTTAGTGCATCAGTTTTCAAGCATCTTGCAAAGAGACAAAGAAGAACACAAAAGGTAAGACTTAAACTAGATGTTGTGTATTATGATCACAGAAGGTTTAGAAGTTCTGTTAAGTATGGTTGAAGATTTTGTTTTAATTAGCTGTCTAATAACAGCTTTGTGCATGAAGACCTAAACCACTGTTGAACTTGCTACATAACATGAGGGATAGCATGCCCTACTATTACTGCTTAAAGCAGCAGCATACCTTGACTTTCTTTAATAAAAACATTACCTTTTAGTCACCAGCTCTAGTTTTGTTTCACCGAGCTTGATCTCAACAGCTGGACAGCACTTCAGGAAGACACAGCTGACTAGCAGAGGAATGTTATCCTAACCAAAGCTGCTCTCCTCACAAAAATTCAGAGGGAGCATTCACAGTGCATCTTGCTTCTAATAAAGTATTTTAAAATGTGTTTAAATCAGAAGAATTGCCTCAAACCCAGAGTGCCATACGACTTAGTCACTACTTCACCACCAGCATCTAAAGTTGTATGCCAGTGAACCACATCCTTTCTCAGTCTTCAGAGGCACAACAAATCCATTCAGGAAATACCATCTCCTTTATTATCGTGTGCAAATTATTTGCAAATACTGAAGAACCTATAACCTAGTGAGTGAGTACAGGAGCACTTTAAAGAAAGAAGCTAGAAAACCCACCACACAATCTAATCCATTTGCTCGTGAAAGAATAGTTCGTGATTGGTTTGGTGCTGTTTAAGATTCTTTCTAAAGCTGTATCAATATCTACTTTTTTCCTGAATTCAGATTAGATCTCAGGTTTCTCTTTTAGAAATGGTTCCCTTTGGCCAATCATACACTCTGACAGAAGATTTTATATTAATTTGTTTTATGTTATGCCTTTTCACTTTATTTATTACCTCATGTTCAACAAATGACTTGAAAATTAACATTTATTTTTAAACATTGGCTTATTTAGGAAGCATTTGCTATGGATGCTGATTACAGTCATTATAACAGCTGTAATTTCAAGTTGCATGATAGGAACGTGCACATATAGATAGGTAACATGACCAATTTCCCAAATGGATAACTCCCAAAAAAGGTAAAGATGAACACAAACAATCCCAGTGTGAATCCAAGTACAGGTCCATAAACTATAGCAACAGCTGCATGTACATGATCTATGCATACATTTTGGCCTTCTGTGAATTTCATCAAGAATTTAATTCAAAAATGTTTTTAAAAAGTAAGTAAAATGAAACAAGTTGTCACTAAACACAAAACAAATACTTTTATTAAGCCATGTTTCTTGCTCTCTCTCTCCTTCGTAAATTCAAGTTTAGCTCCACTTCCTACACAAAGGAATTTCCACTAAATTTATTAGGAGTTTCCCTGTTAGAAAAAAACAGAGATAGAACTAAACAGCACTAATAAGTAAACACCATACATTCACATTTCGGAGAACTTTTCTCACTTACTAACCTGTTTCTGCTGGATGCTGGGCTTATTACTAGTTTTTGTGGCTTCAGGCATCTTGACCTCCTAAGTGGATTGAAAGATTTAACTTAAAATAAGCTTGACACACCCTCAGGCATTCAAAAAAAATATGCTGGGCAAATGAATCAGCTTTCAATGAAACCCACTAGAAAGAGCACAGGAAATGAACTGGCATATTTGACTTTCTTTTACAATTCTGTCATAGTCAAACTTACCCCAATAATATCAACAGCTGAATACTTAAATACTGAATATTCAGTCTTCACAATTAAAGGTTTACTGCACGTCCGTTACAAATAAACTTAGGAGGTAAGAGACTGAATCTTTCCAAAATTCAAATTGGTCTGTGTCCATGCAACTATTTTTAACTGCTTATAGTCTAGAGCTATGAAATTAGATGTTGTTCATTGTCTCCCTGCTCACTGTAATGAGCGTGGTTCTAGAAGCACACCCGTCCCTTCCCTTCTCCTTCCCCCTCTTCGGATTGTTTTGCCATAACAGCCAAAGTCTTTAGATGTCATAGGCACATTAATACTAGGATATATATATATTTTTTAAATAACAAGCCTGAACATATTCTCATCCTTAAAGGCCAACACAAAAGACAACAGAAGTATTTTAGCTACAAATCAGATTATTAACTCTTCTATTTAAAACCAGGAAGTCTCACAGTAGGAATGTCACAGATCTTGAATTGGTCCGGTGCTACAGCAGATGGGGCACAAGCAAGTGAAGTGATGAAAAAGTGAAAGCCAGATAGGGATACAAACAGGCTACAGTCGAACATAAAGATTATTCCGTAAGTGTCTTTTATCACATGCAGCAAAAATTAAAGTCCAAGAGGGAGAATGGAAAACATTATTAAAATTATGATGAGAAACCATCTTTAACATTCAGAATAAATACTACTTCCCATAAAACTGAGCAAAGATGTACTTTCTAGTCAAGTAATTCTGTACTGAGATGTTGGAACATGCAAGGTCTTTTTCATCAATAGGACTTTACCAAGGACATTTGGGGGAAAGAAAAAAAAAAAAAAAAAGAAAAGGAAACAAAGCTGCTGCTTGCTGTTTAAACAGCTATTCAGGCACCTACATACAGTCATGCTCACCGTTTCTTGGCCTTCTTTGCTTGCCTTCATCATCTGTTCTGATATGATTTTCTTCAAGCAGCTACTCAGCAGAAAGGCCTAAAAAGGATGAACATTCCAATTCCAACATATACTGAACTCTTCCACTCCTCCCCCACCAGAAAATTACAGTCCCTCACTACTGAGCTATTACTTTCCTAATTCAGTTAATTTTACTCTGCGCTTAACATGCTTACAGTCCCACCACACTAGCTCAAATCCTTGCTTCTTCTATACAGCAGCGCATTTCCAGCCTTTATCTCCTCCTAATCAGTAGTCCACATCTAGCACAACGTTCACTATTAATTATCCTGTGAAATCTGTTAAGTAATTTTAGTTTTCTGCCTTGCCAACAGCAAAGAAACTAGAAAGCTTCCTGCTTTCACTGACGATGTCAATGTGGATGGCTCATGTTCTCACAAAACTTAAGTGTGGCAAGAAACTAACACTATAGAGTTGTGTGAACTGCATCATGACACTGGAATTCAGAAGTTGTGTGTGAAAAATTAAGCATTTTGATTTTACTTGGAAAATCCTATCTTCTGTTGTGTGGGACTCAGAGGCGAAAGAAGCAATTTGAAGAACTGGCTTTGTGTTTGCGGGGGGGGGGGCAGTGCTGCTGGTGGGGGGGTTTTTTGTTTTTTACATATAGGCTCAGTAACTCAACTGAGGCTGGAGCTCCTTTGGATATGGCAGGGCCTAGATTATCTGCTAGGCAGCATAACCACAGATGGATGACTTCAATTCCTGGATACCTTTATCTTGAAAGAGCTACTTGAAAACAGTGGGAGGAAGAGCACCCTATAAAATCCTATCTAAGTACTATTTACATGTAAAGACAATACTTGTTATCAAGGCACATATTCACAACCTCCATTAACCCATGTTTACACAGCATATATTTGAACAACAGGCTTTCTTGTGAAAGATAAAAGCCTTGGGCCTTAAGCGAGTTTGACTGATTAATGATTTGGGATACTCACTGAGCCCAGTAAGTGAATGGCACCTCCACGCTGCATGCCAGGCTTGCTGCTGAGTACTAAGCATTTCTTCTGCCGGGAAATCATTCCTCATACTAGAAACTTAAATGCTCTTCCTCAGATATCCTGTCTCTAGGCCAACCTGCTGTAAACACAGCAGCTACACTCTGATACAAGAGATGGACTAATCACTTCTGAAGAACAAATTCCAATCTCTACGACTATAAGATTACATTTCACTCTGATCCTTTTCTAACACGATTAAGAACGAACCTGTTTTGTGTAAAAAGTTATCCACTGCCATGTATCTGAATCCCTGTACTCAAATCTGAGCTCCAGAGTTTCTTCTTCACCATCCTTTTCAGGACCCTGAAAAGCACAAGAAACCAAGAAACAGCTATGAACAGCATTAGGGTGCTTAGCCTTTAACATGAATTAGTCAATCAGGTTCGTTTTATATATTATATAAATAAAACAGTTGAAGATCTGTACCAGATTAGTTCTCCTGGGGGGGAGCAGGTGGGAGGGAGGATGAGGGAGTCCTTGCAAGCATAAAACTGGCTAAAGCAGTTCTTTTGCTCCCACACAAAATGCTCTGCTAACTCCACCTTCCACACCAAGGGAGAGGAGCAGGTGAAGACAGACAAAATGTCAGAGAAAGGAGCAAACACAGCAGAGAAAGGCTAGATTTTCTATTGCTCTAAAGGTTACTACGGGAATCCGCTCCAGAACAGGCTTGGGGTGCTGAGGGGGGCCAGCGGCATGGACAGGAGAGATTAAAACAGAACACCCCAAGACCTGCCATTCCCTGACAATCTCAGTTTTCATACAGAAAAAGCAAATTCACATACAAAGTCAGGGAAGTACTTACGAGAAAAGCGACCTGCCAACATCTCAAATTGCTGATCTTAAAGCTGACCTCTTTGGTTTGGTTAGTAGGCAATTTTATGCAGCAGTTAATCTCATTACTGCCCACATAGATGTCAGCTGAGCAACCTACTTCTGGGTAGTCACAAAGGCAAGGATCAAGTCGTATGTATCCATAGAACTGCATTTCTCGAACCAGTTCCAGGAACTGCATCAGAAAGACAGAACTAAAATGATTTGCTGTAACGACAGGTGAGGGCTAGCGATTTGAAAAAATGGGTTATAAAGCAAGTCTTTCAGATTCCTAATCCACTTTCTTCTGGGAGAACACAGATCCACCACAAAAATCTGAGTGCTCAACTCAGGGAATAAAGTTCACAGTCCTGATTTAGAAACTTGATTTTTTTGCGCTGGATATGGCAAGATGTATCTGTCAGAGAAGATCCATATGAGCCATGATGAGAGGAAGAGATAAAACTAACCAGTAGGAAATACTGAGGACAGAAGTCCCAGAAGCCTGAACTCCCATCTTACTTCCTAAAGAGAATGCCAAACCTTAGTGCCTGAGCTTGGCAAAGAGAGAAGACTAGCAAGAAGTTTGACTGTGAATCCCAGTATTAGGTATCCAAGTCATTCTGTTGGGATGTTTTAAAATGCTAGCAGAAATAGGAGCCTCCTCTTCTACCTGGTAGCTCAATAATTAGCATCTGACCAGCAAGTGGGAGACCTGGGTTTCCGGCCCGCCCCAGTCTACAAAACCATGCTCTATTTTTAGACAGTAAAAGCCTCAAGCGCCGTTGCTTCAAAATTCACTTCTCAATCTGTTTGTATTGTTTTAAAATACCATTTTACCTTCACTTTGTTTGCAGTCTTTTGTAGAAATCCAAGCTCCTGCATCTCCTCCTCTGTTGGTTTAACCCAATTCCTCTCTATTTCCTGGATTGCCTTAAGTGAAGTTTTGAAAATATTAAAAAAAAAGTCAGTAAAAGTTTATTTGCTTTTTCCCACACCACCAACTATTTTTTCAAATAAGGAAGGTCTTGGATTTGGCACAGGTTCATTCTGCTTTGTTCTTCCCTCCTGAATTAATAGTTTCCAAAGCTAGTACAACCCAACACATCTAGAGTTTAGAATTCAAATGCTGTCATCATTAAGAGTACCTACAGAGATATGAAGAGAAAATGGACAGATTTCTAAATATGCGCCTTCTATGCAATTCCCATGCACAAAACAAGAGTTAGTGTCTCTAAGGCATGAGTTTGCTCCCGCCCTCCACAAGTGTTCAACAGTAGCCATACCCATCATTTAGAAAAGTGCAACAAGGCAGCGTTAAACAGAAAACATTTATGACCATGTTTAATACTAACGTAACCCACACCAAACATCTCAATAACTTGTATAAAATAAAAAGTTAACATGGGAAGGTTAACTTTTAAAATCCTGAAGATCTTTCAGTTTTACCTGCATATATAGCAAATTCACTGAAGCTCTACAGTTCATCAGCAATGTATCAAGAGAAGGATCCATATACCTGCCAGGGGAAAAAAAGTAGTAAAATATGAAGATCTAAATATGGCCCTTTGACACATCAGCCAAATACCATGGAAGCACCACCCAGCAATACCCCCTTACTTCAGTTTTACCCTTGAAATGTGCACTATGGTCATTCCTTATACATTGTAACAGGATGGAAATAAACTACAGTCATATTAACCTCTCCACTTTGACTTTGGTAGTACCATACCCAGCAGTTACAATTTGAAACTATAATTTTCCTGTTTTTATATTTTTGCCCAAACAATTCAAGACTTATCTACACAGAAGTTGATAGGCCTATCAGGGCACCTACTGCCATGGCCTGGCCATAGTGCTGACGTGCAAGACCTGGCCTTGAGCCAGCTAGCTCTCCTACCAACTACAGTATAACTGCTGCAAGATCAAGATCAGTGCAGCAGCAAAGGAGGTTGAATATTCAGTTATCCGAGTGCCATGATGCAACAGCTAGCTTGAGTGAGTCTACGTGACACTGAACACAGCAGCGTGGGCTCCATAGTTGATCTGGTTGTGCTTCTCACATGGTACAGGCTGCCTCCTGCAGCACATGAACTCCTCCCAGACTGCCATTTCCCACCTGCATTTGTGTTTTTGAAGCAGTGTGGGATTGAAGGGTTTCTACTCAGACAATTACTCTGTCATAGGTTATCCCAGTAGGACCAAAACAACGGTGTCATTAGGCTCCTATATTTTCCAGTTTATAAGGGCACATACAGGGAAACTGAGACAACTTTGCAGATGCTAAGCTCTAGCCCAGATTTAAACCAGAGAAGTTACAAACAAACAGGCATCTGTAGCTTCAAGCCAAGCAACCTTACTTGCCACCACTGAAAGGCATGGTTCTGCCCTTCCCCTTCTCCAACCACAGCCCTTGCGCAGCACTCATCTGATGCAGCCAGTTCAAATCAAGAAGTGTACAGGAATCTATTCACTTCTATCTGTTTCACTGGGGGTAAGAGTAGACCAGGACCACAACCACACCAATAAGCCATGGGACTGGCTCAGCTATGCTGCATAACTGCACTCCCAGGGCACCATTTGACAAGCAGGACTTTGACACCAGGGTTTGCCCTCACCCACAGGCCAACCGTTTGCTGCACAACAGGACTGGGGGACTGAGGTAGGCCAAAATAGGCCAGCAAAAACACAGACACACACAAAAGCCAACGGGTTATTTTTAGTCTAGATGAGCTCCCCAGCTCAGTTCACTATACCTGCCACATAGTTCTATCAACACAACTGAGGAGGAGCTGGAGCAAAGGAAAGGGGAACAAGGCTTTGCTGCTTAAGCCAGCCCACTCACCAAAAGAAGTTCCCAAGCTACAGCCACAAGTATTTTGCGCATTAATATACAGAAATGAAAACCTTAGATTAAAAGTAATCCATTTCTGCCCGAAATGAATTGCGTCTTTTAACTCAGAACCCGAAGTTTTCTTTTATATCACTGCAACTGTATTTTAAAATATATATTCCCATTTGTGGTCACTACATTATGCAGATATAAAAATTTAAGTCAAGCATGCACAAAACACCTCTCTCTAGAGATGTTGGAAGTGAGAGAATAAAGAGCTCACTGCAGTGAAGAACACTTCAGAAACACTACAATGATAACATTAAATAATATGCAGGGCCACAGAAACCAGTCAACTCCAGTAACAAATTGGCCTCAAAGAACAACAGTCAAGTTGCTGAGACTGAAGGCTTTGTATCTAAGTTTGTCAAAGAAAGAAGTCCCTTGAATTTGTTTATAGCAATTGTCATGCATCTTACTAGTCCCTTAAGCTTCTTGCTCACCACTTTCTGATCCCAAGCTTACAGTGCAACTCTTTCATGCTCTGAAGACTCACGTAAGGAAGTTCAAATTCTGCCACTTTTTTCACCACTGGGAAAAGAAAAAAAATGAAATATTTTGTGAAAACTAGTGAAATAGGCCAGCTACTCTCATATTTCAGTTAGTGACGGATTAGAGTGCTGATTAGCAGTGTGCTTTTGGAGAAGAAAAACTTCACCAAACAAATTCTTGGGTAAAGTAAGGTGACAGGTTATCTTCCTCACTTCTCTGTGAATCTAAACTTAAGCAGCTCTTTTATTTACAGAATATCTCTACTCCTTTAGGGTGTGCTCTTATAGAATATCCTTCTCTCAAAACACAGCTTAGTAGGATAGATGTTTCTGCATTTAAAAGAAGTGTGGATGCAAACTTCCAATATTGGTACCTTTCTTGAACAAAACACTAGACAAAAAACAAATATGCAGTAAGAAAAGCATGTGACTTTTCAGAGGCGATTACTCGCCTGGGTTTTTTTTTTTTTTTAAATATACATGTCCACAGGCCCAACCCTGTAAATATTAATTTCTGAGCCAATACCCCAATTCAGCAGAAGACTCATGTGCTTTATTTTAAACATGTGAGCACTTCCAATATTTCTTGGCAGTGGACTGTGGGTAACATTTTGACTTGATGTGTTTGTGAGGAGTATCAAAAGATACATAAGAATGTAATAAATTGAAAATTTATTCAGTTCTCCTGTGTATCCAATTATATTGCAATACAAAGCAAAGAAATTCATCTATGACTGTCATAAAATAGCATATAAAATATGTTACACCCAGATACGTTTCTGACACAGTAACAGCCAGGGATTCTGTGCACTCAGCAGCACCTTTCATAGTCAGAGAGAGGGAAAGAAAGGGAGAAGTGACAAATAAGAGGAATACAAACTGTAAGGTTTCTATCCCACTGAGAAAGTTAGAGTTTACTACTGGACCTTCCGTGCCTCTTCATATTGAAAAGGTTCAGATGATGACCATCAGCATCTTTATGCCAATGAGGAGAACTGAAAAAAGCTAAGTGACTGGTCAAGGTCACACGGAGAAGCTGTGATGCCCAGCTTCACTCAAATCAATGGCAAAGCTGGTATTCACTTCCCCGTAGGAGAGAGATCTGGCCCTAGCCTCTCTTAATCCCGGGCCTGGGTCCAGCCTCATCCACACACTTGTCCATATCGGAAACAGAACATCAGTAAAACCACTGAGCACAAAAAAGCCCCTTCACGTTTTATGACTCTAAAGAGACTCGTACTCTGGATTTACGGGTTGCTCAGTGGCATCATTGTGGTTAAGCTTCTAAGTTTTTATGACTTAAGAAAGGAAACATGTCAAGACATAAAGGAAAGCAAGCCACAGACACTGTTTATAAACTTAACCAAAGAGTTTCCTGCCCCATTGTTAAACTCAGCATGAGATTTGTAGAATTAAAAATTATTTTTATAGGTATAGCCATCTGATTAAATGCCTGCACAGAAGATCCACTCAACAGTTCCCATATGCAACAGTTGCTCTATGTCTTGTAAACTGGCAGAGACATTATATCCTCACATGAAAGTCTCATCCCTGCACCACACCAATCTGTGCCAAATGTTGCTCCCACCACCACCTTTCCCCAGCGAGGAGCAGGTGAGCCACAGAGGGGAATGACTTGAGGGGGTTTAATCAACAGGATGGGTTTTTCAGCCTAAGCAGGCTCATGCACACTCTGTTCAGAGATCCCAGATTCAATCACCACTGCCTACAAAAATCCAAGGGAGGACTAAATTAAGCACTTCATATAGCTTACCAGAGAGAGCTCCATCACTGTGATCTTGAATAAAAAATAGGCTGAAATATCCTATTAATTCTCTTGATAGCCCCATCTTGTATGATGTAACCTTTAAAAAAAAAGTCAGCTACCCATTAGCAAGAATAAGGAAGAGGCATGTTCAATAGCTATTAATGCAACTTAGTTATTTTCTAAACCATTGCCTTATGTCCTGCGTAACTGCCCATTTAAAAACAAATGTAACCATTCCCATATTGCAGCATTTGGGTTTGTGAGGAGTTTCATAAGTTTCAAAGGAACATAGAAAAGTAATAAAATAGAAAACATTCTCTACTTTGCCATGCATTTACGAATGCTACAATGCAAGGCATCTGCCATGTAACCCCCAGTCTTACTGAATCTTCAAATCCCATTGTACAGTAAGTACTTTTGTGCCCTCAGCTAATAATATTGCTTACCAGCATAAAACAAATCCTGTAGAAATATATACTTGTGCATCTTCCAAGCTGAAAGAGTTCTGCTGCATTTCTAGAAAGTATCTATGAGGCCTGCCCCTTTACTGAAAGCTCCAGTCTTGCTTGCAGGGCTCTACTATTCTGTGTGAGTGTTTCTGTCAAGAGCTGATTTGAACTCTTGTTGAGTTTTCATTATTGCCAGTGCATAAGGAAGAAAATCTTACCCAGTTTGACATTTGGA